CTGTTGTCTTTATATATATATATATATATATATATATATATATAGTACTCTGACATGAGGGCGAGTAAATAACAGAACTTTCATTTTTGAGTGAACTAATACTTTCATTTTTGACAATACCCTGTAAAGACGAGCGGGACATTGATTACATCTTTGCTTACTCAGTCACAGTACTTGGCATTGTAATGGCATTGGATCACGGCTCCCCTGGTATGTTTTGTGCTGTTCTCTTGAATTGTCCTCATTGTGCTTTCAGGTCTCTGCTATCACACTCTGAAACCTCTGAAGCAACATATGTGAGCAGTGTTGCGTGGCTAAATGTTGTTGGCACATTTAAAAAGTGGTCTATAAAGCAAATCTCTCAACATTGGCCCACCTTGTTGCGAGTCCTGTGAGCTGTGTCCATAGCAGAATGTGGAAGGGTCATTTTCCATCTGTTGAATGCAATAGGACATTTTTTACTCCTGCATTATGTTATGAGACAGGGATAAGGGTATAAAAATGAAGAATAGCTTTCTGAATAAATGTCGAACAGGGTTTTAGATGGCCTAGTCCTGTGTGTTACTGTGAATACTGAACATTTTCATTGCGTGCGTGGATGTTTGGGTAAGGGTTTGCAGCAGCTGCAGTCTGGATGTGAATATGGGCTCTTGGAAGCTCGCTAGTCTCCTCGGGGGATGAAACTGTGCAGTGACTCCTGACTGCAGACAATCAGGCTAGAGAGAGACCGCCGCGCAATACAGATCAGCCAATCAATGAGGCAAATTCTCCTAAACCTTTGTGTCCTGTATTCATTATCATTCATTTGCAAAGCGCTGGACTGGCATTAGTACAAACTGCCATCACTACATCAGAACACGCTCGTTCTTTATGGGGAGCTAGACGCTGCAGCCTGCCATTATTGCTGAGGAGACACTGCCCCCTGGTGTTGGGAAAAGAAGTCTGTCACTGCAGCAACAGATGCCAAGACTGGGACCATTCTGAGTTATTTATAGGGTGTTACACAGATCTCAGTGGCTCAATTAATGTGTAAGAATTAAGCAATCTGACATTAAATTTCGATCCATAACACAGTCCATTTCTGTAATGCGACACACAATAAAATTGTGCATAATCGTGCATATATTTAGGCTGGTAGTAAATGTCCAGGCATGGAGTGCAGCACTTCAGTTATCTAATGAAGCTTCATATTTAGACAGCTAAGTCATTTCTGAGCAAATGGATGATTCTTAAGTTAGGGAACATTTCTGTCTGTACTTTGAAGAAAAATACTCTAGTTTTAGATGGTGGATTATAATGGATTTTATGGTGTCTCTTACTTTTTTTCTTTTTAAACGTGCAGAAATTTCCAGGATTTTGTCTGTCCAGACTTTTTAACTCCATGCTGTATAAAAAGTTCTGTAAAATTCAGCTTTGCACATCTTTTTCTGTTTTAATCGGTTTATTTTAATATGGATTTTCAAGGGTTATTGTTTTTAATTAATTACTGACCTCAGATATTTAATGAATTGCTGTCATTAAGCATTTGTAATTGAAATGTTATTGAGGTTAAATGTAAATTCATATATTTATATCAGTGATTCTCAACCTTCTTGACTTATAGGCCCCTAGTTGTCCAAAACAATATTCACTATTCAATCCATTACTGTACTGGATACATAAAATATTTTTGGTATTTATGCTGTAATTATGACAAAGCTGTTTACTCTTCTTAAGAGAAACTGGGAGTATTTATATATCAAATTGAAATTAATTTACTTATTCATTTTGCATTGTTAGAGATTTCAAGAACCAAATAGTCCTCAATAAGAACAATATTTAAGTTAGCTGTGGGTGATTTTGATTATCTTGTTTCTGTTTTATCTTTTGTTTTTGTGTTTTGTTCGTTTTTTTTCTCTAGTTAGGTTATTTTAATATATTAATAATAATTTATTCATTTTAATACTTTTAAGTCATCGTGAGACCCCCTGGAAGCTTTGCTGAGTCCCCCTGGTTGAGAGCCACAGTAATATATGATACAGTTTATAATCATTCAAAAAGAAAACTATTTCTTTGTCTTTGTATCATATGTTGAAAGTTAATCAACTGCTAGATAACTTTTGTTAGGAAGTCCAAGGCTTCCAAAAAGTCAACTGTCATTACCATCACACTTCCAGCCAAATTGTTCTTGAAATCCATTTTGGACTAAAATAGGTCATGGTATGGATTCTTCACTATCTGTATTGCAGGATAAATGTTATAATGTAGCTGTAGTTTGAAGTAGTCTAAGTGTACCTAACTAAAAAGAATATCTCTATGTTTGTCCGTGTCCAGGATCCTGGAGCTTCAGCAGAATGGAGACATGGACATCCTGAAGCTGAAGTGGTGGCCGCGGGACAGTCCGTGTGACTTGTACTCTCCTGTGGGCACTCGAAAGAGTGGCAGCGCCTTGGACATCCACAGCTTTGCTGGGGTCTTCTTTGTACTAGCAGCCGGTGTGGTGCTCTCCTGTCTTATTGCCACTGTGGAGACCTGGTGGACGCGAAGGAAAGGCTCCAGAGTGCCGTCGAAGGAGGTGAGAGTCAGTTGATGTAGGGATGTTGTTGATCATAAACCTATATTATGAACATAAGAGTGTGGGAGATTTTCTGCCCAAGAACAGATGGGATCCAGTTGTTATTGAAATTCAAGTTCAGCAACATCCCTCTTAAATTTCTACTTGATAAAGGACAATAAGGGAAAAAGGGCATAAAAATGAGCAGTATGACCAGTCTTATAATATAAAAATAATTAACAATTATATAAAATAAATATAAAATATAGATTTTAATATTAATTAGTTATATTAACCATATGGCTATACAAATTTTTGGATAATGCAATGGATTTTATACTTCACAAATTAAAGATACTTAATCTTATTTGATCGTTTTCTCTTTTATATGGTACTTTATGGATGCAAATTAAAAGGTAATAATAAGAAGAAACTTGCAACATTTGAAGCTGTTGTAAAATAGCTGTTATACATACCTGTGACCTCAAATCATTCTATAATATTGAGTTGCAAAGTTGCTCGGCCACGGTAACTGATATAAAAGACGCAACTTAATACATTTCTTCATCATTTTTAATTGTAAATAGCATAAATCCTGATAGCCACACAGATGTAACAGTTAAGCAGAAATCTCTACTGGTCATATACCATCATACCACCCAGCCTTGGGAGGATATTAGTAACATCAACAAAAAACACACGAGTTTAAAATGAGAAATAGTCAGCATTACAAACAGCAGACAATGCACTTTTTCAACAAATAAATTTTTCTGATAGCGCACTTAAACAAGCGAACCTCTCCAAAAAGAACACAATGTTGTTCAATTGCCTCCCAAGCACATTAGCTGTAATAGAGCTCTGCTGAGAAAAAATAAATAAGCAGGTGCTAGAAAATATATGTGCTGCATATATCTGGATAATTACTTTAAGACAAGGCTCTAATTTTTCTTTAATATCCCATCCCGCAGTTTGTGAAGATCAGTTTAGATTAATGTGTTTGCACATATTGTTTTTCTTGTTTTTACAACTGTTTGCCTATGGTTCTTTGGCATCAAGTTAACGATAATTAACAAATGAGCCCACACTCTGCAGTTAAACGCTTGCATTTTACATGAAAACACTTGTTAACAGTGACAACCCATTCATATGGCTGCGAATGAACCTTTGTGATGTTGCTCTGGATGCATTTCTTTGATTTGATGAGTTTATAGCTCCTTGTTATCTTCTGCAGCTGTCATATTGTGGGTGTTTCCTTTCCTGATATCACATCCCCATCTCCCTCATTACTCCGACCGAGTCCTATCACCCACCCCCCAACATACACACCTGACCTCTCCTCACAGCCCTTTGGTCCGGGTCATCAGACTCTCCACAGGCCAAAAAACACAGCATTTCATCTCCAGCGTTCTACCTGAAAAACAATCTCCGTAGTGCTTTTGATCAGTGGTCAGGGGCCTTTTCTTGTCTTCCGTCCTCCCGCCATGAAGCAGCTTTTATCTGTCGGGGCAGCAGCAGGCCGCTCATGACCCCACAGAGAGAGCCCCTCTCCTTCATCCCTATTCCTCTGAAGGCCGTCGTCCACTCTGCTGGTCATCATAATGCTCTGACATTAGTGTAACTCATCTGTTTCTCCCAGAAATGGCAGATGAGCATTTTTAATCCTGTTGGTTTAACAGGATTCAATATAGTGTTAGTTTTTGATTGCGGCATGCCACAAATAGCAGATTTAAGTCTTATAAGAATTTGAATGACTCATTTTTACTCGCATATGAGCAAGGTCCAAATTAACACTGAATTAAAATGGCTGGGGGAATTGTGACATTACATGGTTTAAATCGACATCTGACCTATTTTTTGTATGTGAAAAATTAGCTTTCAAGGCATTTTTATCTAAGATATTTTAACTTTTTTTATGTCATTAAATGATACACTACCATTTAAAAGTTTGTAGTCTTTAAGAATTTTTTTGTTTCAGAAAAAACGTCTCTTATGCTCACTATGGCTGCATTTATTTAAACAAAACTACAGTAAAAATACAGTAATATTGTGAAATATTGTTACAATTTAAAATAACTGTTTTCTATGTGAATATATTTTAAAATGGAATTTATTCCTGTGATGGCAAAGCTGAATATCCTGCAGCCATTACTTTAGTCTTCAGTGTCACATGAACTGTCAGAAATCATTCTAATATGGTGCTTTAATGTTTAAGAAACATTTATAGTTCTTATCAAAGAAAAAAAAAAAAAAAAATGTGCTGCTTAATATTTTTGTGGAAACCGTCATTTTTTTCAGGGTTCATTGATGTATAGAAAGTTCAAAAGAACAGCATTTATTAAATAGAATATAAATAAATAGAAATCTTTTGTAACATTACTGTATAATGTGCATAATAGTACATATTCTTTTTGTATGATGCTGCACAATACATTACACTTTGTCACATATATTCAATGCGTAGGATAAAAAATATATTTTTTTTTTAAATAATGCAAAATTAAATCACTTATAAATATTTATAACCTGTAAATTCACCTGCCATTGGCCTTTGTTCCAGAGAGTTAACATTGGACCTTATACTTTATATACTGTAAGTATGTTTAGTCATTAATTATAGCTAACATAGTGGTGTAGTTGAAGCTATAACACTGAGCACAGAGATGATTCTCTCTGAGGATTTTTCAAGTAGGGTGGAGTGCTTTGGCTCTGGTCACACTTGAACCCGCTCCTTTCTGCCCCAGTGGTTGGATCATGCAGAGTTGGGCTCATTCCTCGGAGCACTCTTCCAGATGGTTCCATCAGAGTAGAAGCTTGGCAGAGCTTTGCACAAATATTCACACTGACATGCTGATAAGCACGCATTTTAACACGCACGGTTCAGCGAGCGACAAGTGTTAATGCCAAAAGCGACCGAGACAAAACAAACACTAAAAATTAGAACATATCACACTCATGTCACAGATGTTTTCGGTTCTACAATTGAAGCTCTTTAGTTTGTAAATGCCAGATTTTTATCCATATTCCTTTACTGCAAAAAAGTTTTTTTTTTTTTTTTCCCCCAGTAAAATTATCTATGTATTCAGAAAATAATTACATAAGTTATTATATAAGTTCATGAAAAATTATCTTATTTTAAGGATATTTGGATAAATTTAACTGGAAAACACTGCAAAAATACTGATTTTTGCAGTATTTGTTGTCATTTTCTGTCTTTTCTAATTGTCATTTTGGCACATCCTTAAAAACCATTCTTTCATCTTTCAGCATGATGCAACTTTCTGTTTAGTGTGTCCTAGTGTCTTGGGACTTCCTAATTCTTGCTGACTGCTTCTTCTTTTCTTTGTAATATTTCTTGACACCTGGCTAACACTGAGTTCATTGCACATCAGAACAATAGAATGACTTTGTGCTTGTGTCTCTGTGTCTGACACACACACACACGCACACGTTGCATATGCCATGGTGTTATTTTGTCCCTGTTTCCTCTGTTTCTCTGTGATCTCCCCGTCATGGCTCCTTCTGTGGTGTCGCAATTGATCAGAAATAATTCGATACGACAAGTCGTCAAAACGAGTTCAAGTTTTTATAGCGCACCACCTGCCAATCCAGAGAGGACGAGCAGGCGGTCCAGAGAACCGGAGGTTTTGCTGTGTGAATAAGTCATTTCACATGCCAAGCTTTGTGTCCTAGTCATTCCTGAAAAACTAAATGATGAAAAGTTCTTCACCTCAGATGTCTGCTGTGTCATTGATATTGTGGCTGTCTGGAGTCCTGCGGTGCCTCTACGTTTCTAGGCCACAGTATGAGGTCTGCATTCAAATACCCGACTGTGTTTCGATCTTAAAAGCAAGGAAAAAGGAATAAAATATATGATGTATCTTTTAATCCTATACAAAGGAGAAAATGTATTGAAATTATATTCACGGTGGCGTGAAATTATATTCAAGAGTGAGTATTTGAAAGTCAGACCTCATGTAGCCGCATAATTAACGGAGGCCACCGAATGCCAAACAGCGTTCTGTGTCAGTCATTACTCTGAAAATGTTTGATTATTTTTCAGAAAAGACCAAAAACTCATGTTATTCTTCTGTCAAAGCCTGAAACAACTTTTATTTTGTTGATTTTGTTTTATAGATAAGTACTCTGTGTTGAGGGGTTAAAGCGGGCGTGGGAGAGAAATGCAAAATGCCATTTTTACCATCTCACACTTCCAGGTATCTGGCTCCTTGGACATAAAAAAAGAAAAAAAAAAACAACGTCTGTGTGCTGACTGTTTGTTTGTTGTCTTTTTCTACTCATTCCCCCACCTCTCTGAAAACATCCTCTTCCTCATCCTCTCATCTGCCTGCCTGATGTGTTTGGTCAAACCTCTGTCCTTTCACACGTGCTCGCACACACACACAGACACAAGCAGACGGACCGTCTGTGAGGCAAGACGAGCCGTGTCATGAGCCGCAGACTGACATCATGCTTACGCTCAGGCCTTCCTCCAATCACCTGCCACCTGCATGCTGCGCCACACCCCTCGACTCCAAGCTGAGGCACACGTTCGCCATCCCGTCGCGAACTGTCTTCTGCCAGCACTGAGCTACACTCTTTCCACACTTCTCCAAGCCTCAAGCCCATGTAGGTTATGAAATCGCCCCTGGCACCAAATGCGCTACAATACGTTTTTTTATGGACTTCAGCAGTCGCACATTTGCTGCTGAGTGAGAATCCAGCAGGGTGCTACAAGGAAGGCCGTTACCATTTATTTCCAGAAACCTTGAGATTTACAGTCACTTTGCTCAGGAATGCAATAACACAGGCTATTTTCAAAACCAATCTTCATTTTTGATCTGAAACCCACATTAGTGCCAAGCTGCATAGAGACTAGGCAAAATTGGCTAAAAGAATACAGAAATGACAGCGCAAACAGTTATTTGAGCTGCGTAGCTTTGGAGTGGAGCAACCCATATAAAAACCTTTTGCCCAGCAAGCTGGCGTTTGCAAAACTTGTTCAATATTTAGACTGGTGTTGCATAGCCAGACTAAGTGCCTAATTCAGTATTCAATCCCAGAATCCTAATACAGTCGATGCAACAGGTAAGATGACGTTTAAAGCAGTGGTTCTCATTCAGGGGGGACACTAGGGGGCCTCAGCAAACTTCAACTGATGCATTTATATGTATTAATAATACAATTTCTAAGATGTCTATATTTAAAATTGTAAGATTTATAATCAAATCTTGTACTTAACTTCCAATAGGGCAGAAAAAATCTATATATTTTAATATATAAATATATTTTAAAGACAAATATAAGGACATTTTTCTGCATGTTCTTATCGTTAATAATTAATGTATTGACAGACACAAGCACATTTGTTATTTCAAAGGGTATATTCAAAATAAGTGTTTACATGCACCTTTAGTCAAACTAGAGCAATAATAAGACTTTTTAAAATGTAATGTAAACTGAAATCATACCACTCAGGCCTTTGTGAAGTCTAATAGATCTAGACTAATAGATCTCAATGTCACCTAATTATAGTTTTAGACAACAATCGGTCTTTGCGTTGTGTGCATGTTTCAGAAGACAAAGGTGATACGTGTGTACCTAATCCTTCAGATATTCAGTTACACATTGTGTCACATATAGTTGGACAGATGCCGAATGTAGCTCCATTATAACTGTGCTGAAAAGGTTGAGAACCACTGGTTTGAAGATTTCACACTAGTGTCACATCCATATCTATAAATCTTAGAATAAAATGCCTTGGATTAGATTCATATTCGGAGCAATCATACCCTGCCCCACAAAAAACATAAGTGGTATTATTTTCAGATCACAAGTATTCTGAAAAGCACATGGTCCCTCGTTAGTTCAAGAAAACACCACAAATGTGTCCTGTCATGTAACACAATCCCTGTTCCCGTCACTCCTACACCCCTTTTATACCGCCTTCCTCCACCGTGGTGGTAGGACAGGTACAAATGAGTTGCCCCCCGACCTCCCACCCCCTTCGGCCCGACCAGGTTTCCCCTCCGCCCCTCTTTACTCAGGGCCACGCTGCCTGCCGCTGGTGGCTGCAATCAACAAAGTGCTTTATGCTGGTCCAATCCAGAGGCCATTTATCTCACTGCAGCCACAATGTCAGCCCACGTCACCCCGTGAGTTTGTTTTTTTGTTTTAAGCACTCCACATATTTTAGTGGTTATGTTAGTACTGTAAACATAATATACAGTAGATCGACCGTGGTTTCAGATGGCTTGAAAGTGGAAAGGTTTTGTAGACTGTATCTACATATCCAAAGATCAATGTGTCACGCAATGGCATTAACGTTGTTGATAGTTCTCGACAAGTTCAAGGACAGTACTAGTTAAGACTGATGTGTTTTCATTACCGTAGCTCAGTATGTTTCCCTTTTTGTACCTTCCTCCCTCCTCTTTTTCTGTCTTGTTAACCATGCAAACGCTAAAACCTCATCGGGCCTGCTAATTCTCCATCGACACCCACCCTCAACCTTCTTCTAAATGTTCTCGATGTTTCCATCCATTCCCAACCGCATCCGAACACTTCCTTCCCATCTCACTGGCTCACCACCTCCTTCCTTTTCTCACCTTTCTTTGCCTGCGTTTCCTCTTCCACCGCCCATCCGTTTCCCTATTAACCCTTATCGCGCCGTCCCGCTTCACTAACCCATCCCGCTGTATCTGCTCTTACGATTACACACCTCTTCTCTTCACTTTACACCTCTTTTCTCCTCTGATCCTGTAACAACCTTCACTCCTCCTCCTGTTCTTCTCTCCTTCCTTATTTTTTTCCCGCACCCCTCCCCACTCCACTTTCCTCCTCCCGTTCTCCCCTCCTCTAGGACGATAAGGAGATCGACCTGGAGCACCTTCATCACCGGGTTAACAGCTTGTGCACGGAGGATGAGAGCCCCCACAAACAGTTCTCCACCTCCTCCATCGACCTGACGCCCCTGGACATGGACTCCCTCCCAGCTGCCCGGCAGGCCCTGGAGCAGATCAGCGACTTCCGCAACACGCACATCACCACCACCACCTTCATCCCCGAGCAGATCCAGACTCTCAGCCGCACCCTGTCGGCCAAAGCAGCAGCCGGCTTCGCCTTCGGGGCCGTGCAGGACCACCGGACTGGGGGGCCCTTCCGGCAGCGGGCCCCCAACGGCGGCTTCTTTCGCAGCCCCGTCAAGACAATGTCCAGCATCCCGTATCAGCCCACCCCGGCCCCTAGTATGTTTACTTTTTTTTTTTGGAATTTTTTTTTTTTTCGGGAAGAAAAAAACAAAAGACTCTGCCAAGTGTTTCCCAGATCTGCAATAACTCAGTTTGGAAGCATCTTGTCAACTCATCGACTGAATTTTGCTTTTGGTTAACGTTCAGTACTCCCTCTAGCTGATGCATTCAACATGGCGCTGCTAAACTCAGAGAAAACAACCTGCTTTTCTCTGAAGCTTCACAGCAAGTGACTGTGTTTCTAAAGACCTCTCATCCTCTCTGCCATCTCCCAGAAGTTGAGATCTACTTTGAGTCTTTACACGGACACTCTGTGGAAAAGACTCTAATGAACTTTAAAATAAAAAAAATACAAAATAAAGTTATTATACTGTGGGTGGGTGGGTGGAACAAATGCTACTAAATGTCTCTTACTGACTTTAAGTATAACGAATCTTTAATGCGTGGAATGTGTCTGGTCAGAGAGTTTTAACAACAAAAAAAAGTGTTCAGAGCTGTCTGTGGTTTTAGTTTTCTCTTTTTTTTTAATGATTACTTTTGAAGTTGCTTCAGTGCTATCATCTTACATTGATTTGCACCATTAAGAGTTTGTATTCACTTCTGTAGCCGTACTCCAGGATTCAACAAAAACATTCTGTAGAATAGCTTCATTGTATATGCCACAATCTCGCGGCTGTGCGTCATAGATTTTGGAAATCAAAGAGTGAGAGGGTTTTTAAACAAATTCTTAACATGAGCCTTAGGAGACAGGGCTTTTTTTTACTTTTCAAGTGTTGGTCCTCAACCTGTTACTATCTGAAAATGCTGATACGGCGGCGACTTTTGAGGGGTTATTTGAAATATATTTCTATTTAATTTCGTAAATGTTAAGGGGTACTATTTATCTAACTTTTTTTTAAAGTGCTAATTGTTTAAACAAGGCCATCGAGGTGTGGTGAGAGTTTAAAAAAAATAAAAAAAAAACGTTTTGAGGACAGAAAACAAACCAATCCTTTTCACTAACATAAACTGTATTAATATTTACTAATGTTAGTCATTTAGAATGAGCTTTCAGTTTGTTATCCTCTGACTAATTCGCAAATGTTGTGTGTAGAGAACAGCAACAGTGTTTTGACGCAAGCATTCTAGATGTACTTTTCTTAAGATACGATTACTGAAAGACTATAGGAGCAATTTTATTTAGTATCAGTTTAAAGATTTTTATTTAGCGTAAATGAAGAGACATTCAAGTGTATATTTTACATGCAGATAATTTTTTGTCGGATTTAAAGACGATATAGAGTATAATATCTGAGTCTGTAAAGCTCAGTTAGCCACTATCACATTACAAGAAGTTCTCCACGGTTTCTGACGGTAAGGCACACTCATTCGACTTCATTTAATTTTAATTTCCAAATCTGTCAAAAAGGAGGCAAGGTTTTTTTCCGTAAAAGAAGCATGCAAAACCTGCTATGCCTGTAACATTTTTAATTTCATACATAGAATTGTACAGGATTACATCATTTTCAACTGATTATAATGTACAGTATTTAATATAGGCCTATTTTGTTGTATGTGTTGCATATTATTCAAATGGAACAAACTGAGGCCTCTGTTACAAGTGGCAAAGCTTCTGTGTATAATTTGTCTAATAAACATGTTTTCTACAGTGGTTTTTGTTGTGTTGTCTGTATCATCAAAAATGGCATACAGACACAATAATGTCCCGAACAGTACAGTGGAACATGTGAAGAGTAACGCGTTCTGTTTCGTCCCTTCCACCGCAGGATGAGCTCATCAACATGAAGTTCTCTGAACACAGTGAAGGTTGTGGTCAAAGGTTAGCCACTGTTGGCTTTTGACTTTGTGAACCAGATTCATGCTCTACAGGTCAAAGTGAAAGGCACCACAGCATTTCAAGTCATGCTCTAGTGACTGAGGAGTTTGTCGCCACAAGTTTAACCCTGAACCTGTCATGTTCCAGATGTATTAGGCCAAGCTCTTGTACGCGAGTCTGTTTATGCTATGTATTGTATGTAATGCGTATGGGTTGTAATGTTGCCTGTTACACTTTTTACCAAACTCTGATGCACCAGAATTATTAAACGATAAAAAGCTTACACTTACAGCACATAGCATAGCACCTATGACGGCTGACATGCAGACAGTTGCGTTCTGTAGCTCTTCAAGGACTAATATACAATTCCATGTTAAATGGCAGACATTTTCTGCATGAAAACAGGATAAATTGTTAATCAAATTAGAAAAACGTTAGACTTCCTCTCCGATTAAAGTTGGCGATTTTTTATTGGACGACGAACTGTAGCAAAACGGCTGTTTGTATTTTGATCATTGAGGCTGAAATTCTCAAGTTCTGAAGAAAATAAGCACTTGATCTACGGTAAGTGCGTTGCAAGTCCACTAGATGTCGCCTTTGTGGCTTTTTCTGTAAAGAGATGCATACTAAAGTGTGCACCTGTTCTTATATTTAGAAAATCAGAGATCTTATTTGTTTCAGGTTTCATGTATTACGGAAAACATTAAATCAAATTAAACGCTTGTAAATACACAAGCTCGCTTTAAACTAACGTCGGGAGGTTTATGTACTGGATAATAAAAAAAAATTGAAATCTAAATTATTAAATTTAATATCAATTATTACTTTTATCTATGTAAATATTTGTTACATAGATAAAAATATATATATATATGTTATTTATCATATATTTAATGAATGGAGTAGCTGTGAAATTCATTATTAGGCTACTTATAATAATACTACGTGTGTTGTGGAGCCCTGTGACGTGTTTTATCGGCTTTTATCAAGCACGCGATATCTCTGGGTTTCCCGGGAGACAGGAATTAAGAAAGCAGCACGCAGACTCGATCGCGGTGGAAGCCCCCATCGAGACACATTTTGTGCCCTTTTTCCAAAGAGTTCTTCAGGCGTGTCGAATGGAACATTGAGTCTCTATTGTCCCTGGGACACTTTAATAATCGACGGCAGCAATCCCAACCTGTTGTTTGCTTTAGGACCTATTCCGAGACACACAAGCCGCCTGGATGAGGCTCCAGTTGGGGTGAGCTAGGGACTGTCGCGCCTCCAGATCAAGTTTCTGATCTTTGGGAAGCTCTTTTGCTGAAAGGGCGTTCCTTAAATCGGATCAAAAGGTTTTGAACTTGTCCAAAAAGAAAACGAAACTCAATCTGGTATTAACACTCATTTTTGAATGTGTTTAACTGTGCATCAATAAAATAATGAATTATTGCTATTTATGTAATGTTCATGTTGCGCAACTGAGATTTCTTTTTCAATAGAGAAGTATATGTGTAGCCTATATTATAAGTGTGTCTTTTATTATGTTAGACTATATGTACGATTGTAAGTACGATTATATTATATAAGTACGGTTACGTAAACTAAGAAATAGCTAAATGATAAATGCCTAAATTAATAAAACGTGTTTGTAAATAAATTTCTCGAATAGCCTATTCAATTTCGTTGACAAATGAAACCAAAACAAATGCGGGGTTTTTTTTTGTTTTTTGTTTTTTTTGGTCATTTCATGCGACTGTACGCATGAAGAGACAGTGCCTAATATATCAATGTCGCTAATTATTTTCTTTGAAGCTAGAACAAAAGTTTAAGAAAATGGCGCTAAATTCAGCTGTTCACGTGCATTTAATGGACACACGCAGATTCAAAGCACGGTGTTCTCAAATAAACCGTTTTGATAACCCCTTTCACTTCATTTGAGACTGTCGAGACAAGTTTTTTTTCCTTCCTGTTGCACTTTATAGACTAGATCTAATTTCCTAAGCATAGTGTGTGAGGAGGCTCGCCACATAACTTTATTCAGTCTCTACGTTTTTGAGTGCGTCCTGTGGGACGGCCCATTGTGATAATAATTCTCTAGTTAAACAGGTTTGAAGCGCGACATTATTAAAAAAAAGTTTGGGCATAATAACCTCTCTCGGGTTTACTACGACTTCTCATTGGTCGCCCACACGCGCCTGCCCCGCGTGCTCTTATTGGTCAAAGCGCCACGCGACCAGCTTGAGAAGGGGGGCTCCCCGGCGCGTGCCGCTTTTAAAACCGAAGAGTCGCCCTGAGACATCAGTAACGAAATCCCCTTCATCACAGGTGTAAGAAGAGAAGTCATCGGCAAAAATCCATTTCCCTTATCCAAAGCCACCCACTTTCCTCCAAAAAGCACAAAAAAAACAACATGGATGGAATGAACGTGGACGGCGTAAGCACGGATACAAGGGAGGTGGTTGAACTCGACGTCCAGCATCCGAGCCTGGGGCGGGGGAAGCAGCGCGAGTACCCACCAGCTTTGGCACTCATGGCCAGCAGTGACCCACGCGCCTGGCTGGCTCCCGTGCAGGCTGGCACCTGCGCGGCACACGCCGAATACCTGCTGCACTCGCCCGGCTCGAGCGCGGAAGGCGTGTCCTCTGCCTCCAACTTCAGGAAGAGCAGCAAGAGTCCTGTCAAAGTACGCGAGCTCTGCCGGCTTAAAGGAGCTGTGGCTGCAGATGAGGGCAGACAGCGGGCCCCGTCAAGCAAAGCGACCAACGTCGTGCAGAAACAGAGGCGCATGGCTGCCAATGCCCGGGAGAGACGAAGGATGCACGGATTGAACCACGCGTTCGACAAGCTGCGCAGCGTCATCCCAGCCTTCGAAGATGACAAGAAGCTCTCCAAATACGACACCCTACAGATGGCACAGATCTACATCAACGCCCTGTCCGACTTGCTTCAGGGCCCCGGTGCTAAAGCCGACCCGCCAAACTGCGACCTGCTGCCTGCCAACGTGTTCGAGGAGGACCGCTCTCCCAGAGGATCGCCGAGCGTCTGCCGGAGAGGCGCGGGCGCGGGTTACCCGTACCAGTACGAGGACGCAACTTTCGCCTCTTTCATGGAGCAAGAGCTCCAGTCGCCCTCTGGAACGAGCAAGTACGGTTCGGAGGCCAGCAAGGACTCGCCTCGGTCGAACCGGAGCGACGGAGAGTTTTCCCCTCACTCGCACTTCAGTGACTCGGACGAAACGCACTTGGAGATGCAGAGCGAGGACGAGCTGTCGGAACTGAAACTGCCCAAGCACCGCTCTTTTTAGAAAACACACCAACCGGACTGTCCATCAGTCGTGTCAATCGCATATTTGGGCTTTGTAATAGGTGGTTTTATTTATCCATTTGTTGTATGATCTTTTGACAATGATGTTGCTGTTGTGTCTGACGCCAATAGATTTAGTTGCCTTCTCGTGACATTGATCAGACCCCTACGCCATGTGAACTGCCGCGTGCGGCAGTGCCATGGGCTCGAATGTCATGCATAAAACTGTCTTCCGTGAACTGTTTTGACACGTGATTGTCCTGGGCCTATTTTCATAGATACGATTGATGTTGAACCCTGTAAGAATTTGCAACTTCTAAAGTTTACGTGCACTTTAAAAACGGGCCATAGGCTTGAGAAACACTCTTTTGTCATGGAACAAGGCATTTTGTGTTTATGTAGAAGTAATGCCAATTTGATTAATATATTTAATATAGCCATTAGATTTTGTACATCCGTTCGTTTTTAATATTTGATTTCAATGCAAAGAAGTTTTGTTCTGCTTCTTTAACTGAAGTAAGCTATTTATTTCCGTTTGCCTTGTCAATTTTTTTTTTTCGTTATTGAAAATGAGCAATTTTGCTACTGGTATGTTTTGTTTTATTGTAGAAATAAAAAAGAAAAATTAACATGATTATGTCTCGTGTCTCTGTGTGATTGTCGTTATCAGTTTTTCATTACGATTTTATCTAAAACCTTTTCTAGAATCTAGATCTTCTTTTTTTTTTTAAATAAAGTAAATCCTAATATGTGGGCACCAGCTTTATCTAATGTCATTTAATTTTAATTAGGTTTAGCCCTTAACGAGAACTTATAGGTGTGAAACATTTTATGGTTGTAACTGATGTGACATGACCGAAAAATTAATAATTACATTTTTTACCGTACTGTAGCCTATAAAATGTTGTATCAAAACGTAGGGTGACCTTGTCTGTGATACATATAAAACAAACCTATATTTTTAAGTGTGAACTTTAGTCAAGTAGCCTACAGTGGTTTTTTGCAGCACCGTTAACAAAAATCTTCCAAAGGGTGTTTTTGTACGAAGAATCTTTTTTGGTTCCACAAAGAACCTTTCAATTAACAGTTCCTAGAAAAACCCTTTTTTCTTAATGTGAAGAATATTTGTATAATCTAAAAATACATTTTTTCCACTATAAACCTTTTGTGGAATGAAAAGGCTCCATTTATGTTAAAGGATATTCATGGAACCATCAATGTCAATAAAGAACCTTTTTGACCATCTTCTTTTAAGAAACACTTTAAGTTGGTTATTTGGACAAAAAGTTCTTAATTTAACATTATAGGCACCTCGGATCCGTGTATGGTTTCTGGCTATTTTATATAGCCTACAACAACATGTTTTAATTTTTTCTATAATTAGAGATCAAAGTTCTTTTTGGAACTTAAAAAAAGATTCTGTGGCAGCAGACTGCAACACAATGTTGGCTATAATAAAAACATTTCATTTGATTTAATATTTTATTGTATTTTATTTTATTTACACAAAAATCAGGAAAATCAGATCATCAAAGAAATGCACTAAACACAGTCAGTAGCCTATACAGTGACACATTTAATAATAAAAAAAACATTTAAAAAAAACATTGATTCATACACCCAATGTAGCTCAGTTCAGCATATTTTTTTATTATTTAGCCTGTTCATTCTGAGGCTGTTTTCTCTTTTGAAGTTTTACTTATAGGCCTAGCGGTCAAATAAACTGTAGACGCCTTATTTAGGCTATATTACTAATATTGCTCGTGTTTCACAGGCTTAAAGCCAATCCGATCTCATGAGAAACCGTAACGTAAACGTAGGCTAGCTATTTCATGAGGTGGCGATTTCGTACGAATTTCTTATGGTTTGGTTCGTATAAGCGAAAAAGCCTACAATTTTAGAAGCAGACTCTGTCTCTTAAGAAAACTTCATTTAGCTGTTCGTTCTACAATTGTCTTAAAATGTGAACTTTAAGTCAGATCTTAGTCTCATTGTTAATCTTTTCTTTTAGTCAGAGTTTGGAAGAACTTCTCTAAAGGCGTTTAGCGCATACGTTAAGGTTTTCTTCATGTGGTTCATATGCATGCTGGTATGCTGCCAACTGCCCCCGTGCCAACTGTCAGCTTCTCTACCCTCGAGCCATGACAAACATCATGAATTATTTCATTTTGCGTATGAATGGGTTTTAATAGTTTTCTTATCTATAAGCAGCCTCGTGTTTATTGAAGGAATTGTTTTAACTGTAATTGAAACGTTTATTAACTTTTACAGAATTGTTGGCCGACCCCTGGCTAGGGGTGTTGGATGTCCTGCTGGAAGCACGCGCTGTCAGCTGGTGAGCGCAACGAGTGGAGTCCCACAGGACCTGACTCGCGAGACTATACACTCGCTCTGTGAGTCTGCCACACACGCGCACACACCAAAGTACAAATGCTGACGTACACGCACAAACACGCGCACTCTTATGTCTTAGACTAAAAGGGAGCTTACAAATAGCCTTCCTTTGTTGTTGTTAAATAAAACTAAAATAAGTTTTAAAGACCTCTAAAATACATGTTTCGCAAAAACATTTTTGCCTTATGAACCACTTTTCTTTTTCAGAACCTCCCCAAAAATTAGGTTTAATCATTTGAAAACCTCATTTACCGTGGTAAATTATTACAAAAAAGCGTTGATGTATTCATTTTAATAGAGAAGCTACATTATATTTGTTTATTCTTTAAACACTTTTCAACAACGATAAAGGCTACAGAGAGAGTTCCCTTTAGGAATAGAAAGGGATAAGTAATTTCCCAAAACTGTTTTTTTGTCCGCTCCCTTCAAAGACTTCACTGGAATTGCTCAGGAATTATTAATGAAAGTGGCCGCAGTGTACCTGCTTTTTTGTGTCTCCACCCCTGCGTTTATCCAATCACTTGAGCCGTGCGTCTGCGATCCCTATCCAGATTAACATCGAGAATAATAGGCAATATCACGCACACGCTCAGCACGCTAAATTATTCACAACCTTATCCATAATACCTTTATCTTCCAGTGAACCGCGCGACCATCTGTGCCGTCCTGTTACATGCGACCCTCAAACGACAAACGCGCTCAAATTTCGCGACCACGCGCCTGTAACTGGGGAGTAGCGACGCCTACCAAACTGTAAACTAGCTGAAAAGTTTATCACCTGCACTTACAGTCGCATTTAGTGTGATTATTCTTAAACTGTGTCTCCCTAACTTTGTATCTCTCGCCTTTTACGGCATTTTACAACGGAGACTGCCTTTTTCCTTGAAGTAGCACTTAGATCGGTTATAAGGGCATGGTTACAGGAGCTGTCAGGTCCAGTCGTGCTCAACTAATGCCAATGCTTTGACCGATGTGTCCAGTTTGTCTCCTCAACACAAAAATAGCGCGGAAAATGCTATCAAACATGAAAACATTCGTCATTTTGTCTATACGCTTAAAGTCATTCAACAGAAATCTTTTAAAGGGCTCTTCAGTTTTTTTTTTCTTGGTTGTGCTACTTTTAGCCTATAAGAAACAGAGTAGGCTAGTGTGCACTTACAACATTTGCAATATTCAACAAATTTTATTTTTGTATCTGGCAAACTTAATGGTCCAATTATCTCATTCATCATTAATGTTTTACGTTATTTTGATAGTTTCTTAGCTTTGGTGGGAAAATACTATATTTACAATCTCATTGTAATCTATAAAACTATTTCATTTTATGTAACTCTGGAGTAGGCTATTTCTTTTTAAGCTAGAAGCCTAGGTCTTCTAAGTTTTTTTTTTTTTTTCAGATTTGTTGAATTTCATATTCGAATTAAGCTAGTCTACATCAACAATACCCTATGGTGGCTTAAAAGAGAAAAATGGTTATGCAATGATTTTATGGTGCCCATGGTCTAAAACATATTGCTTGATTTAATACAGAAACATTTAATAAAAGAAAACATGTATTACGCTACAGAGACGAGAAAAAAATACGTTTTTAAAAATGATTTAGCATTTTTTAATTTTCGTGTTTTAAGTGGATACTTAGCTGACTGTCAGTTGACCCCCGCGTGCTCGGGACGACTGATCTGATATCAACCTGTGGTCCCATGGTCTTTTTTTTTTTAACTTATAAAGTATTCCTGACAACAGCTGGGAGACTGCCTGAGTTGAGGTTTCACATCTCATTAAGTATTGAGGTAGAGCGTTGAAGGAAAAACATAAACAAATACCCCCTCCCTTACGCAATGCCCGGGCTCGTAGAATCTGAGAGGCTCGTGCGCAATGGTGCTGTCGTCATGCTAACCTTTATATAACTTTAAAATCCAACATATGTGTTCAGTGAAGATTCCGAAACAGTTATGGTATGTTAACATAATGTGTATCATTTAATACCTTTATTAATATGTTGTGTATGCAGAAAAAGTTGGATCTTTCCCAACTTCACACTATTGGCTCAAACCTGATGTTTAGACATTCCACTGTTTTTGTTCGACAGTGACAAAATAGAACAGTAGATTAGTTTTGTATGCATTCCAATGCTGTGATTTTTTTTTTTCTGGTGTGTTTGTGTTTGAGGTGGTGGGGAATTGTTTGCATTTACTGTCCTAGTTCCTCAACCATTTTTCAACATGATGGACAAGTCATGAAAACCCTCCACCATGAAGATCAACCCAACCTCCACCTCATTCAGTACTGGACGAACTTGCATGCATAGCCTACTGAACAGGTAAAGTGTTATAAGTGAGTAAACAGTGTAAACTGCCTGCAGAGCACATGCTCATTCCTATGCTCAGTTGAAAAGTGAGGTTCCTAAACTTCATTGAAGATAAGGGGAGTGGGAGGAGCCAAGGAAAGGGCTCGGACTCTCTGGGGACTTGGAACAAAAGCTAAAACTGGGCTGTACTCTCCATCTGCTTCGAGACTGTAGCAACAACCATACAGCAAGACAGAAAAAGAGAGAGGGCATGTGGGGGTGAGGTGTACAAGGCATTCAAAAGAGAGGAAAAAAGGAAGAGCAGAAATGGATGTTAGCTAGAGAAAAAATCCACTGTTATAGTGCATGTTATAGTGTAGACAGAGAATCATTCTCTGATCTGAAAGACTTGTGCCAAGTAACTGTTACCCATCCAGTTATTGTCAAAAGAGCATTTGGATTTCAGCTTATGGAGACACTGCTATGAAATATTAATGTCAAGTAATGTATTAGAGGCATTTGTTGACACATATGCATACACCTGTGCATGTAGCACAACTACATGGTTAAAAAAAAGCTTTGTGGCGTTTTAAGAAAGATTGTTATCTAAGCAAGGGAGGAAAATAATAGAAAACGTCACATGAGCCTCTGAATAAG